TGAATTGTATATTTTCCACAATAAAAAAAAAGTGAGTGAATTTTCACTGTAGATAGATTGTGGTGTTAAATCTACTACTAAATGTGGTGATGTAATTTTGACGACAGAGTGTCACTTTTTAATAAAAATATTTTACTTTTTAGTTGTAGTTGGATGCAATGCCTTTATTTTATTTATTTTTATGTGGTGCAGAGCATCGAACCCAGGGTCCTGCACATGCTAGGCAAGCACCCTACCGCTGAGCCACAACCCCAGCCCCAGAGTGACTTTTAGAGCTGGAAAAAGTAGAAAGGTTCTGAGTGTGAAATCCAGAGCAGCTGCAAGGCGTCTCCTGGGAACTGCTGGAAATGCAAGTTCTTGGGTCCCTATTGAGTCAATCTAGAAATGAGGTCAGCAATCTGTGTTTAACAGGCCCTGATAGTGATTTAATGAGAACTATTGATCTAGACAAACCCTTGCTTTAAAGAGAAGGAAACGGAGGCACAGAAGGGATACCTGTCACAACTCATSTGTCAATCCTGAAATCAAATATCAGACTGGCTGGAGGACTAGTGAGTGTGGTGTCTATAGTAAATAGAAGAGACCTAACCTGGGCTCCCGACTCATGCTAATGAGGTTTCCTGCTTGTCAGGGTATGGTGGTAATCACACAGATGCTTTCAAAACCAAATAGGATGAATTTTTTTTAATCTATCTAGGAGAATTTCACAGAAAAGGGAAACTTCTTAGATTTTGGAATTCAGTTGCACAAAAATTAAGTGTTATTCATTTTTATCACGGCCAACAACTTTTTTTAGCTCTTTGCAAATGGGTTTCCAACCCTCTGAGTTCAAACTTCTTGTCTTCTTGTGATACACTTCGTAGTTATTTCCTTAGGATAAATGTGTGGGTTAATTTAWGGAATGCTGTTGAATATAAAGTTACCCCTCACAAATTTTCATTTGCAGATGTTTTGGAAATGCACCCCACACTGAGCCACACTTCCTCTGAAATGCCTCCGCTCCCCTGACTCCATTCCTGGGCTTCCTCCCATAAATCTGCCTAGTTGGTCTCCTTGACAACATCCTGTTCTGCTGCCCACATCTGGAAGTTAGGCTTCTCCGAGGTTCAACCTCCCTTTCCAGGGTGATCTCACCCACTCCCATATCTCAGTTACCGTTTATATGTGGTAGCTCTCAACGGGTCATTCTAGCTGATATCTCTCCAGCCGATTGCTTAGCCACATCCCAACTGATCTGTTTCTAGCACTGCCCTGTGTGCACTGACTTCCTTCAGTGTCACCAGAGTATTTTTGTTTTTAAATTATTTTTTTTCTTTTTTCTTTCTTTTTTTTTTTTTTTTTTTTTTTTTTGGTACCATGGATTGAACCCAGGGACATTTAACCACTGAACTACATCCCCAGCCCTTTTTTATATTCTATTTAGAGACATCATCATCTCACTGAATTGCTTACAGCCTCGCTGCTAAAGCTGGCTTTGAACTTGGAACCCTCCTGCCTCAGTCTCCAGAGCCACCACACTGGCTGTTTTTAGATTCTAATAGTACATATTTTAGAAAAATTGGAAAATATAAACAAGCATTGACATTAAACACAAGGGTGAGGAGAATCAAAGATACTGTAAATAAACCATCAGCCAAATCCAAAATGTGAGACATTGCAAAGGACCAACAGTTGGGTTTCTTCAGCAAATGGTATGGGGRCAAAGGGAGGGAAGACTGTTATACATTAAAGGAAATTAAAGTGACACAACCAAGAACAACATACAGTATAAATTATATAAGCAGTAAAAATATTTGAAACTACTGGGAAATTTCAATTATGGACAGGGTATTAGACATTAAGAAATTATTAGTTTAGGTATTGAGGAATAATTTTCATAGTTGTAGTAATGTCATCATGACCATGTAAAAAACATCATATCTTAAAAATGCATACTAGGTATATAAATGAAATAAGATTAACAAAATGTTAGTAATTATTGCAACTGGATGTTTATTATTCCTTTGAATATTTTTTAATACATTTGAAAATTCTCATTTAAAAAAAATGAAAGGTTGAGTCAACTAAAAAGGGAAAAAATTGAAATAAAGGGAAAAAAAATCCTACTATCCTGGGAATTCTTGTTTACAGAACCAAAGGGCTATCTGGTAAAAGTCCTTGACTCCAGTAATCAATCCTGGCAGCAAATCTCGGTTTATCTCATGCACACGTCCTCTGTTTCTCTGCAACTCATATGAAACACTCAGATGGCTTCTCAGGGACAGGAAACTGAGATTTGGCCTTTTCTGTTAAAAGCACTGAGACTTCAGCAGCACTGCCCTGCAATAAAACAGTTCCAGAGTCACCAGCTGCTGCCATCAAACCACAGCTTTAATAAGCTAATGCTCAAATTACCTGCGTTCCAGCACATCAGTGAGAAARTAGCTAACTGCAAATTCAGATCCATGGGAGCCCCCTGGTAGACTCAACTGTTCGCAGGGACCATTTTACCTTAGTTACTATCAAAACCTGGTGATTAGCATGGCACCTGGCCCCGGGGAAKCACTATGTCTTAATTGAATTGATGTCTTTAGAGGAAAGAACCCATAATAATTTGAATGCCATTGAGTTCGGGGGAGGGGGGGGGAATGCTATGAGATTATAAAAATAAGGTTGAGGACCACTTTTCAAAGATAGTATTTCTTTCCTAGTCACTAAAAATCTAGTTATTAGAAGTAAAAGTCCAGGGGAAGGGGTATGAGAGAAGGAACAAAAGGGATCCAAAGTGTGGATCCAAAGTGGAAAAATGATAAATTACTGCTTTGGGTAAAAACACAAGTTAAACCTTGTTTCTTTAGATGTTTTGAGACCAGAGATGATAACAAAAACGACATAGTGTGTCAATTGAGCGTGTCTCAAGAGAATCCTGGACCTGCTGCTATTTTTTTTTTTTTGTCAGCTCACTGACCATCTGACCACGACACTTCCTAATGACCAGTTGCAACAACCTGCCTTCTCCCCTGCCCATGCTACTGCTGCGACATCATGAAGTCAATTCCTAAAAGTCACAAACTTTTGACGGGAGGGGATGTCGCTCATTCAGAGTTCCCCTCTGGATAAGATCCTGGAGGTTTCATTGCAGGGAATTCTTGAGAGAAAACAATAGGAGGATGAGGGACGTGAGGGTTGTGTTTTTCTCCCCCTCAAGAAAAATATCAATAAAGTGACCCTGTTGACAGCGTAAAGCAGAGCTTCAATCTGGGGTCAAGGCCAGAGCAATGGACACCTTATCCCAGTCATCCTCATCCTCTTCCTCCGATAAGGCCCCAGCCCAGACTGTGATAGTCTTTCTTCAGAAGAACTTAGAAGTCTTAAAAAAAAAAAAAAAATGTGATTGAAAAGGGGACAAAGGAAAACTGGTACCAAGAGGACTTTCCAGTTTGTTTCTGGCCCTCCATCCAGAAAGATGCCTCAGGTCCTGCTGTTCACCTGCCTCTTCATCACAGTCATCCCGCTGTCCTCCCTGGGTGAGTTTGGTGCCAAGAAGTTGGCACAATGTACTTTTTGTTGTTGCAATTTGCTATTGTGTACAGGTTGCTAAGAAGTAGATTCCAGCGCCTCAAATATTGTTTCTAGAATCATGTCAGAAAAGTCACTCATAATCTGTGAAAATTTACTTTCCGAGACTTTCTGTTACATGTTCCATTAGCCTCTTGCTTGGGCACCCAGAATTCTCACGGGCCTGCGGTCTCCAATACTTCTCCATGAACTAATTATTTATTGGCATATATGTAAGAGGAATTATGATCTCTGTTTTCTAGGCACTTTTATAGTTCTAACTTGAAGAGTAAAAAAAAAATGATTTTTAGATTTGAGGATAGAATTTTCCTTTAATGAATGCAAGAGACTGAACGCTCCGTTCCCTGAAGGGCACAGATCTGGATAAGACAAACTCATTAGTCCTGACCTTTGAAAATACATAGGACTTTTTGCACAGACTAAGCATCTCTTAAAACTGCCTCTGCCTTCAGACTTGGCCCCAAATTAGCCAGCTAGGCAAGGGAAAGTCTCAGTTCCAGCTACTGACAGATTTCTCCCTTATTTCTTTCTCCAATAACATGAGTTCTAACTGGAAGAGAAGGCAGGAGGTGGGATGGAGAGAACCAACCTCCTTGGCACTCTTGTGTAGCTCAGTATTCCACAATGATTTATTTCTTTGAGGGCACTTGTGCCTTGCCCTGGCATCTTTAAGGATACACATTAAAATCTAGATTTGAACAAGTTAGCAAGGCCCTAAGAACTTAGTGGACCCTGTCTCAAAATAAAAAAATAAAAAGGGCTGGGTGTGTAACTGAAATTAGTGTAGTATCCTGGATGGGATCCTGAACTGGGAAAGATGTAGGTAGAAAATAAGGAAATCTGGGGAAAAAAAAATATATGGACTGGAGTTAATAACGGGTTCTCAGTGATTCATTAATAGCGAAAAAGGCACCACACCACGTGAGAGCGTTGGGTATGTGTGATGGAAACTGGCTGCAGGGTATATGGGCACTCTTCTCACTTATTCTGTAAATCCTCCGAATAGACTTGAGCTCGCCGTCGTTAAACACGGGGTCTGCTGTCAATAACTCAAGGGCGCCACGCAGCAGCCCCCTCTTTCCTTCCCCCCTCCTGCTCTACCCTCCCTCGGGCACCTCCCCTGTCCTCCCCTCATCCCCACACCCTTTCCAGACCCCCGACCCTCACCCCAGCGCTTCTAGGATGCTGGACTCGATGCCAGAAGCCAGGCGTAGGGGGGACCTCTGGGGCTGCAGGGGCCGCTTTTCCTAGAGGAGAGGGGGAGCGCCCGGAGACCCGGGGAAGAGGCTGGAAAGGACAGGGGAGGGGGAGGGGAGGCTGCAGGGGACGGGTGGGACTGGGAGGGAGGGAGAGGGCCAAGGGCCAGGGCTTCCGGACCTACGGGGGGGGACGCTTTCGGCCCGGCTGCCTGGGGTAGCACACCCCGGGCCCCGCCTGCCCGTGCGCCCTCGGCGGGGGCTGCCTGGAGCCCGGCTCCCGCGCGGGAGGCAGCCCCCGGGCCATCCATCAGGAGGCCTCCCGCGGAGGAGTCTGCACCCCATTGAGGGTCGGTATGCAAAACACCGAATTGTGGCTCCGAATTGAGGCTGAAAACTCGAAAAAAAAAAAAAATGAGGGATTTAACACCAGCGGCCAGATTATGAAAGGGCTGAATTACTGTCTTCAAAGGGGATGGAAAAGTTTATGTTAGAAAGTGTGGCTGGGCGCAGTGGCGCTCGCCGGTGATCACCGTCACTCGGAGGCTGAGAAAAGGCAGCCTCAGCAATTTAGCGAGGCCCTGTCTCCAAATAAAAAGGGCTGGGGATGCAGCACAGTGGGAAAGGGCCCCTGCGCTCAATCCCCTGGAAAAAAAAAAAAGCACAAAAAAACCCCACGAGTGAGATAGATAAATAGATATTATTTTATAGAAGATAGTGGGTAAATTTCTTTTCATGCCACAATTACCCTACCACAGGAAAGGAAGTGCACTTTTAGCAGCTCAGGAAATCACAATTCACTTTAAGGGAAAACTTTATAAATCATGGAATAGTCATTATGAGAATTTCTGTAGAAGCCATTAAAGGTTGAGTGTCTAACCATTTCTTATAAAATTACAGCGAGGGAACTGAGTGAGATATTTCTATGAATTTGTAATCATCTATAAATTTGCTCTGGAAATCTTGCTTGGCAAGAGATCAGGCAAAAGGGTTTGAACCCAGGACCTTGTGCATGCCAGGCAAGGGCTCTACCACTAAGCTACATTCTTAACCCACTGTTTTTTGTTGTTGTTTTGTTTTTCCTGGGTGTGTGTTGTTGTCTTCTTTTTTTTTTTTTTTCTTTTCCTCATTTTTAAAAGGAAGAGAATCTAAGGACATTTCTTAGCCTCCAGGGACATTAAACTATATTCTAGGGCTCTGTTGCAATACCTCAGGGACATTTTAAAGAGAAAGTTGTTCCTGCCATCTGCAATTCTGCAAATGTGTTATTTCCAGAAAACGCAATATCGCACTTATTTTTTTGTCCCAAACTGTCACATTATCTGTGGGAACCACTTGCCAGTACACTGTGTATTTCAGAGCAGCTGATATGTGCCTGAAGCCTTTTCCTTTTCACTGAAGTGATCTTAGCACATTCTTTATCAAAGTCAAATTTCCACTAATGCAAAATTGTATCTATAATCTTTTTTACACATGACCATCCAATTTTTTTTTTTTTTTAATTTCCAAAAAACACTGCAATACAGCCTCTCCTTTCTGGATAGCTGAGCTGAAATGTGCTATCCCATAAYTGTTTGTTATTGTAATAAAATACCTAATTCCTCTTCCATAAGACAGTTCCAGATTTTTAAAAACTGATGTTTCTTCAATCTTCTTTTTTTCYCCACACTGTAGTTCCCAGCTTATTCTCCAGGCCCTCTTCTAGAACTGGTCAACTTCCTCTGGACAAATTAGTCAAATTAGTCAATTCATTAAAAAAAAAAAAAATCCTCCAGATGTGAACACAGTGCTCAAAATATGGTCTTACCATGGCAAAGTTCACTGAGTAGAATTCTACCCTCCCCTATCTGAGCGATTATCCTTCCATCAAATGATGATTCTGCATAAAAAGCATACTTCGCGCCTGCCGGTGGCGCTCACCTGTAATCCCAGCAACTCAGGAGGCTGAGCAGGAGGATTTCGAGTTCAAAAGCAGCCTCAGCAACAGCAAGGCACTTAGCAACTCAGTGAGACCCTGTCTTAAATAAAATGCAAAATAGGGCTGGGGATGTGGCTCAGTGGTCCAGTGCCCCTGAGTTCAAAGCCCAGTACTCCCTCCCCCKCAAAAAGCATAGTTTGACCTAACGCTCACATAGTTTTGAAATAATGTTGCAAATCTATGAATGTGTGAAGCATTTTTAAATCAAGTTGAGGAATCATAAATAGTTACTTTAGTGGACTTCAGACAAAAAAATTTTGAATTCAAAAAAAGTCAAAATGTGAGTCCATGGGGCTGGGGTTGTGGCTCAGTGGCAGAGCGCTTGCCTGGCACATGTGAGGCACTGGGTTCAAACCTCAGCACCACATGTAAAGGAACAAATAAACAAATGTATTATTTATTTATTTATTTATTTATTTATTTATTTATTTATTTATTTATTTAATGTGAGTCCAGTAAGGTGTACTTGGGCGGTTGGGACTACTCTGAAACATCACTAGGTGGCTCTGAGGTACCCTTTTCCTTCCCAGCCCTAGATCCTTGTTCGGCTTACATCAGTCTGAATGAGCCCTGGAGGAACACAGACCACGAGCTTGATGAGTCTCAAGGGCCGCCTCTGTGTGACAACCATGTGGATGGGGAGTGGTACCGCTTCACGGGCATGGCAGGGGATGCCATGCCCACCTTCTGCATCCCAGAAAACCACTGTGGGACCCACGCGCCTGTCTGGCTCAATGGGAGCCACCCCCTAGAAGGCGACGGCATCGTGYCACGCCAGGCCTGTGCCAGCTTCAAAGGGAACTGCTGCCTGTGGAACACCACGGTGGAGGTCAAGGCCTGCTCCGGAGGCTACTTTGTGTACCGTCTGGCCAAGCCCAGCGTCTGCTTCCACGTCTACTGTGGGCGTGAGTACGGCCCMGGCTGCTTTTTCCTCCCCAACAAGGCCAAATTGGAGACAGAGAGGAAGGTGCCACCGGAAATCCAGTCATGGTGACAGCAGTGTCCGAAATGAACAATGGCTGATCTGAGACCAAAGATACCTCCATATTGTGACCTTCCTTCCCTCCCCTTTCCCTCCCCTTCCTTTAGAGATGGGGACTCGCTAAGTATCCAGGCTGGTCTCTAGTTGATAGTCCTCCTGCCTCAGCCTCCTGAGTCACTGGGATTATAGGAATGAACATGCCACCAAGCCTGGCCCAGGTTGTGAGGTCTGAGATCTATTCCTCGAATTTCTGAAAAATTCCTGAAAGAAATAGGAAGGGAAAGGAACCATGACTTTGAACAGTTCTGGTTCATTTTGTCTTTATTCCCTTCAAACAAAACATCAGAAAATGAAATGTTGATTTAGGTCATTGAAATGGTGGACTTCCCACCTTTCTGAGTATGGAGGACCCTTTTCAAGGTGTCTGTGTAGGTCGGCTGATCAATCAACAGATAGATGTTCAGACCTCCKTACGGCAGCGTTGTACTTAGCATCCGTTGATTTGTTAAAATGATATATAATGGGAAGAAGCCCCTTGAGGTCAGTAATATTTTTAAGTGAATTTCTGTGTTATTAATACCATCAAAATCTTTGTACCTTTTAAAAATTTGCTGTGTTGGGGGATGGAACCAGGGGCTTTGCACGTGCTAGGCAAGCTATATCTCCAGCCCCATCTACGTTTTTAAAAGTACAGAGTAGGACTTAATATTTACTTGGTCTATAACTCATGCTCGGTGGTGGCATTTTAGATTTGCAGAAAACCTGTGGCCACCCACAGGCCTGACTGAAATTGGGAGTCATTGATCTAAATGACAGAAGCGCCCTGAGCACTCTTTCCTTTGAGTTATAAAAACCCTGAGCCAGGAGAACTTCCTTGATGGTGGTTGGGAACTTGTGCCCATAGCTGCTTCCTGACTCCTTCCAGAGTGAGCGTGCTTCAGTGGTGGCACACGCCTGTAACTCCAGCAGCTCGGGAGGCTGAGGCAGGAGGATTGCAAGTTCAAAGCCAGTCTCAGCAATTTAGGGAGGACCTAAAGCAACTGAGAGAGACCCTGTGTCTAAATAAAATATAGAACAGGGCTGGGGGTGTGGCTCAGTGAAAAACACCCCTGGGTTCAATCCCTAGTACAAAGAGAGAGAGAGAGAGAGAGAGAGAGAGAGAGAGAGAGAGTGCATTCCAGTCGTCACCTCTCACAAGGGTGATTTTATCCTTCCATAGATTTTTATGACATCTGTGATGAGGACTGCCATGGCAGCTGCTTGGACACCAGTGAGTGCACGTGCTCCCCTGGAACCGTGCTGGGTCCTGATGGCCAGACGTGCTTTGGTAAGAAACTATCAGGAGGGAGAAACGGGAGAAACAGGCTGTTGGGATTGAAGGGGTCAATCAAAATCTCTCCCTGCCCCAGAGCTCCATCATTTTCCCAGTGTGTTTCTGGTGTTTGCCTTTCTAGCTCAGGACTAAAGCTCAAGTCAAATTTATGCTGTGATTAGCCACAGTTTGGAATTCAGCTGCTATCGGAGCCCCTAGCCCCTGTGGCTCTGTGGAACCTGAAATGTTGCCGGTGTGACTGAGATGGGAATGATAGTTCTATTTTAATTTAAAAACCTATGTTTGGTTTAGTCATTGGAAATCCAAAAGTGTCTGGGACAACTTGAGTAACTATAAATTTTATCTGTATTTACTAACTATAAATACAGATTAAATATTTCCGATGAAAATTTGGCATTCAAATGGAAATGTGCTATAAATTCATTTCACAGTGTATTCCAAAAAAAAAAAACTTGTATTATTTTCTTAGGCTTCCAGGGTTTCTTCAGGCAGATATTAAAATACAAATAAATATGTTTGTTTTAGCCTAGCATCTTTTTTTTTAAGTTGGACACAATGCCTTTATTTTATTTTATTTATTTTTATGTGGTGCTGAGAATCAAACCCAGCACCTCACACATGCTAGACACATGCTCTACCTCGCTGAGCCACGAGCCCAGCCCACACATCTCATCCTTCACAATGTGTCTGGGGCATCTTTGCCCATCAAAGTCCCAAGTGCCTACCTGGGGCCTGTAGGCTGCAGAGAGATCATAAATCATCTAAATAATAGGCAGAGTTTGGGGTTCATGTGCACATGTCAATTTTAGTTTTTATTTAGTTTCCGGTTAACAAAACTTATTTAGTTTCCATAACAAAATTTGTTATCAAATATTTAGTTTAATTTAATTTTCAAAAGTTTGTTTTAAGGGGCTGGGGATGTGGCTCAAGTGGTAGCACGCTCGCCTGGGATGAGTGTGGCGCTGGGTTCGATCCTCAGCACCACATACAAACAAAGATGTTGTGTCCGCTGAAAACTAAAAAATAAAAAAAAATTTTTTGTTTTAAATATAAGAATTGTAATTACTTATTTTAAATTACATAATTTTTTCCAGTTGCAGTGGCGCATGCCTGTAAACCCAGCTGCTCGGGAAGCTGAGGCAGGAGGATCATGAGTTCAAAGCCAGCCTCAGCAAAAGTGAGGCACTAAGCAACTCAGTGAGATACTGTCTCTAAATAAAATACAAAACAGGGCTGGGGACATGGCTCAGGGGCTAAGTGTCCCTGAGTTCAATTTTTGGTATCCAACAATGAAAAAATAAATAAACAATATAATATAACAAACATATGTTTTTCAGCAGAGAGAAGACTGTAAGAAAATAATATAACAGACACACCCGTACCCAGACTTAAATATTGCTTCCTTTTAAAAAAAAAATATATAAGTATAATTTTGCACATGGAAGTCATGTACTCTGTCCCAGTTCCTCCTCAGCCCTGGCCCTCCAGGGAARATCAATGTTTTGAAGTCAGCATGGGTTCTTCTGGCCCCAGTTTTTGAGGCTTTCATCCTTTATGCTTATACCCACAGTGCTGTACTGGATAGGATTGCTTTGTGTTCCTAGAATTAACATGAGAACCCTGCCTTGTGCCCTATGTAGGCCATTGTCACTTGGGCTTGATTGTTAATTATAGCCAGTTACTCCATGTACCATGAATCCCTTCCTAAGGTGCACCCCAGAGAAATTTAGTTCTCCCTCATATTAAAAAAATCAGTCCCTAGGGCTGGGGCTGGGGCTCAGTGGTAGTGCACTTGCCTGGCATGTGTGAGGCACTGGGTTTGATTCTCAGCACCACRTAAAATAAAGGACTATCAACAATTTTTTAAAAATCAGTCCCAAGGTAAGTGTTCCAGGCTTGGAACAGAGGCCTCTAAGGAGACCAAGCCCAAGTGTGGCCACATCCATACCCAGGGAAGCTGCTGGCCTCTGCCCACAGACCTCAAAGGCAGTACAATAAAGGTGGAAAAGAGGAGGTCCTCTTAAGATTTTCCTSTTCTGACTATATGTTTCACTTCTACAACTTTTATGTGTTGATTTGGTTTTGATTCTGTCTTGTCTTTTTAAACATCTATTTTGGTTACTATCCTTTTCTTTTATCTTTGGACATTGTTAAAAAATACTTGTGCCGTGCATGGTGGTGCTTGCCTGTAATTCCAGCAGCGTGGTTCAGGAGGCTGAGGTAGGAGGATCTCAAGTTCAAGGCCAGCCTCAGCAATTAAGCAAGGCCCTAAGCAACGCAACAAGACTCCATCTCTAATAAAATACAAAAAGGGGCTGGAAACGTTGTTCAGTGGTTAAGGGCCCTTGAGTTCAGTCCCTGGTACAAAAAAAAAAAAAAAAAAAAAACTTGTATCATAGGTTTCTGGATTACTCTGTTATCTCTGGTTCAAAGTTTCCTGTTATTATTTATTTACTTACTTATTTATTTTTGTACTGGGAATTGACCCCAAGGGCTCTTTACCACTGMGCCACACCCCAGCCCTTTTTATTTTTTATTTTTTATTGTGTCTTAGGGTCTGGCTAAGTTGTTGAAGGCCTCACTAAATTGCTGAGGCTGGTCTCAGTTTTGCAGTCCTCCTGCCTTAGCCTCCCAACTCACTGGGATTACAGGTGTGTGCCACCACACCCAGCAAAGTGTCCTGTTATCTTGCCTACTATTTTTCATGGTATATCATTCRTAGTATTTTATGGCAAACCCATATTCTGTTGTAATTATTCTCTGGTGGCTCTCCACTCTCCTCCCCTGGTTTGAGGAAGTCTACTACRGAGCAGTTTTTCATGTGCCCTGCCAGGCATCACAGAAGCTTTACCAGTCCAGGCCAGGCCAAAGCTTACAAGTCTCTTGGCTTCAAGATCCTCACAGCATGTGGGAAGTAGAAATCCATTCTTCAAAAATAGCAGAGCACTGACTTTGGGTTTCCATTGTTTGTGAAGAATTTTCTCCCTTAAAGCCTCAGACAGAGACTCTCCTTATTGCTTCTCTTGGCTACTTGGCAAAGTTCTTCTACCTTTGATTTCATTGAGAGATGTATTAGTCCATTTTCTGTTTCWGTGAGGAGATACCCAAAGCTGGGTAACTTACAAAGAAAAGAGGTTTATTTAGCTCACAGTTCTGGAGRTTCAAGGGCATGGTGCTGGCATTGGCCCAGTTCTGGGGAAGGCCTCATGGCAAATGGCATCATGGCAGGAACATGTGCAAGAGSGAGAAATCACAYKGCAAGACAAGAAGCCAGGGAGCAACTGAGGTCCCATAGGAACCACATTAATCCCTTCCAAGGACAGTGCCCCAGTGACCTAATAATTTCCCACTAGGCCCTGCCTCTTAACCTTGGCACACCAGGAACCAAGCTTCCAACACGCCTTTGAGTCCATACCTTAAACCACACTCTAACCCTAGCAGGGGGATASCTTTTCTGAGGTCCTGGACTTAGCAGCATTTCCGTTTCAGCTCATCTCCTTTCCTGGGCCAAGGTCATGCCTCCTGTTACTTAGAGAGTGTTTACACCCTAGTCCCTGTCTTCTGTCCTGCACCCAGGTCTGTTATTCCTGGGGGCCATGCAAACGCTTCCTGTCTTAGAAGAAGGAAGGGGTAGGCATTTGTTACCAGCGGAGCTTTTTCTTTGGTGTGTGGTAAAAGTCAATATCTTTCATTGGAATCTTTGAGAGGTTAACGATCATTGCTCAAGTATAATGTAAGACTTTTCCAATTTTAAAGATAGATTTGGAGGGCAGTTCTGATCAAGTTACCACAGAAGACTGTCTCACAAAATATTGGGTGTTTTCTTCTGCACTGATTTAAAGCACAATTTCATGATTTAAAACACAATTGGCAGCTTTTCAGGAACTCATGGGAAATATACCAACACAAAGAGTAGGTGTGTTCAGGACACAAAAGCCACTTCATTTCCCCATAGTTTTTCCATTATGAGGAAGAAGTTGGCGAGTAATTAGACACCTTCCCCACAGCAGAGGACAGATGAAAGAAGGACTTGGTTGGGGAGACCAGGTTGATAGAGGTGATGAGGGAGGACCACAGTGCTGGGTGGGGTTGTGCATCAGAGATGATGGTCCTGGAGATTCTGCCAGGAGCTGGGGACCAGATCACAGAGCCCAGCAGCGTGCCAACGGTGCGGTTTCTATTCCACAGATGAAAATGAATGTGAGCACAACAATGGTGGCTGCAGCGAGATCTGCGTGAACCTCAAAAACTCCTATCGCTGTGAGTGTGGGACTGGCCGCGTGCTAAGAAAGGACGGCAAGACTTGCGAAGGTGAGAGTGATCGAGGACAGGGCCCGGGGGAGCTGCCTTGGCCTTAGAGGAGAGAAACCCTTTGACCGTGTGCAGAACTGACCAAAGAGGCTCCTTACCACGGGGGGTGCTGCCGCTGTGGACAGAATCCAGTGATGGGTTTTACTCCAGGATTTGACAGGAGGGAATTTTGCAAGGAAGCTACGTTTTTACMGGGGAAACGGAAGTAAGGTGTTTCATGTTTCTCAGACTTGAATGTGCCCATAAATTGCAGAGGATTTTGCTCACGTGTGATTCAGTAGGTCTGGGATCAGGTCACGGTATTGCATTTCTGAATAACTTCTAGGTGACGCCTGTGCTTCTGGTCCAAGGAGCACACCTGGAGTAGCAAACCAGCRGAGGCGAGGAGCATGAGAAAGGGCTCATAGGCTGCTTCTCAGCCTTCCCTGCTGCTGAGAACCCACCAGCCCCCAGCAGGCCTCCTCCTGCAGGGCTGGGATGGGGCCTGGGAGTTCCCRCATTTAACAGATTCCACAGGTGATCCTTACTGTCTTGGAATTCAGAAAACTGGCCACATGAAGCCATTTCCTCCCTGTATGCTTCCGTTTTACTGGAGATTAATATGACTTTTGGAAATAAATAAAATGACCTAATTTCAATAGCAGAGATGCTGTGTACAGGTTATATGACAAAGTAAAAAATCCTAATAATGCATATCAAAAAATTGAAATGAGAATTATCTATTATTTCTTATATTGAAAATAATTATACATATTTATGGGATGCCGTGTGATATTTTGACAATCTGTTGTTATGTGAGACTTACATACTTCCCTTCTCGAAGGCACATTTACTTTTGTAAATGATCACAGCTAAAATTTCATTACTTCTGCTTTCATAAATCTGAATTCTCAAGACACTGTTAGCAGAGAGTGTGGATGGAGCAATAAATGGCTTAGTTGTTATTATTTACAGAGGATATATGACTTGTCCCAAGAATAATTGAACTTGTAGATTAATAGAGCTGTGGTACTGCTTACAAGAATTCACTTCATTCTTGCTACATTCAAAACAACAAAATACTAACCCAGAAGAAAAAATTATGGCTAGTGCCCAAAATGTATTTCATGCAACAAAGTTTACTTATTAACTAAGGGAATATAATTGAAATATTAAACTGCTATCCCTTATAACAAGACTAAATGTACTTAAAATTTTATTGAGTAAGGATAATGTCCTAAATTCTCCCTAAATCTTAATTATTTTATGCTATATTTTGTGCATATTTGAATATTCATGAAGTGGTCCATGAGGAACATCTGTAATTATTCATGAGCACTTTATTGGAACTATACAGTTAATCTTCTATAATCCTAAAACCTAATAACCATAACTGAAAAATATTTTAGCAAAAGATAAAAATTATTTATGAGTCAYACTTCAGAATTAMTATGCCTATTTGTAACCCTTACATTTTAGTGATAGTCTAAATATTTGCTTCTTTAGTGGGACTATTAAATAATTTTATTTTTAAAACAATGAACAGCCCTTTTAAGTTTTAAACTAATTATTATTGTTTTGTTTYATTGTAAAAGTGTAGGAAAAATATGGAGGAGTAAAAGGGAGATAATTAAAATGATCTACAACTCCCCTTGCTAGATATGCCCGTTTTAAACACTTTGGTATATCTTCTTGAGAGATTTAAATCCTTTAAGGCAATTCAGATTTTCAGGKTTTTTTTGCTTTGCATTTTTAGGCCTGAAAGTATCCCAAATGAACATTTTAGGGTGACCCCCTTCGTCTTATTACAACTCAGAGAAATAAAATGATTTAAGAAAGGTAATTGGGTCAGTGGTAGAGCACTTGCCTAGCATTTATGAGGCCTTGAGTTCAGTCTCCAGTATAAATAAAACATTAGAAGTTGTCTAAAAATAGGAAAAAGGTCATTTTGGGGGGAAAAAGTTCCTACTAATGTTGATTTTCATATCTTGTAACATATTTTATGCTTTCTTCCACAGTTACAAAAATTTCAGCTATTTCAAAAGACCATAAACAGTGCTTATATTCTTTTAAATTATGCAGATTTATAAACTTAAAATACCTTTTAAGTTTTGCAAAGATTAATTCATTGCAAATTTATTTTCTCTATACAGTTTCACAAAAAATTGATTTATTCCAAGTTAATTTACTCATGTTCCAAAGAATTAATTTTTCTAAACCATCATCAAACTAATAGTTTTATTTATACCTATAAATCAGTTTACATCTTTCCCTGTGCCTCTCAGATAATTTGAAACATTTCTTTCGATTATCTTAACTTAGAACAGGGGTCAGCGATTTTTTTTTTCTGTAAAGACCAGATATTAAATATTTTAGACTCTATGGACCATACAGAATCAGTCAGAACTACTCAACTCTGGTCTAGGGAGAAAGCTGCCATAGACAATAGGTTTGTTTTTTTTAAATTGGGCATAGTTGTTTGCCAATAAAACTTTATATATAACAGCACATCACAGAATAGACTTTGACAACCCTTAACCTAGAAGACAATGTCCACAAAAGTTATTTTCCTCTAAGTTTAAAATCGCAAGGTAGTTTCTCCAGTTTTCAACTGAGCATTTTTTCCTTTTTATCTATTTTTAAAATGCAAAACATTAAAAGAGATTTTTTTTAAAAACACCTCATAAGAGAAACGTTGTTTTAGTCAGCTCTCTTGCTGCCGTTGACTAAAAGACCTGACAAGAACAATTAGAGGAGGAAAAGTTTATTTGAGGACTCGTGGTTCCAGAGGTCTCCATCCATAAATGGCTGACTCCTTTTCTTGGGGCTGGAAGTGAGGCAGAACACCATGGCAGAAGCATATGGCAAAGGAAGGCAGCTGGGGACATGGCACCTGGAAACCCAGAGCCAGCTCTCCTCATCAGGACAAAAGATAAGCCCCAAAGGCACACCCACAGTGACCCACCCCTCCAGCCACACCCTCCCTGCCTATACTCCCTACAGTTCACCCCTAAGGGGATTCATGCCCTAATTAGGTAAAGGTTCTCATAACCCAATTGTTTCACCTGTAAACTTTCTTGCATTGCTTCACACATGAGCTTTTGGGGGAATACGTCATATCTAAACCATGAGAAATATCAACATCAGTTTGGTTGAAAGGATTTAGTATATTTCCAGGACTTTTATTTTTCAGTGCTGGGAATTTCACCCAGGGCTTGTGCCTGCTAGGCAAGCACTCTACCACTGAGACATGTCCTCAGCTTCCAGGCCTCACTTTTATAATGTAGTGTCAGACCAAGGTCCTTTACCCCCAGTGCTCTTGTCCCTAGAGATTCTAGGAGAGGGAGCATGATCCAGCCAACCCACAGCAACTCAAATCCACTTCACTGGCCTAGTTGAATTTCTACCCTGTGACACCCCAAAAATTTCAAATTGGGTATATTAAATGTTACAGCAATTAAAAAAGAACTTTTGGATCTTACTTCTACAATTCATACCTTTACTGTAACCGTGACTAACCATGATRTGAGAAACACATCAGACAAAACCATCTTCTTTTTTTCTTCAATACTCAGGATGGAACCCAGGGATTGAGTTCATTGTACATGCTGGGCAAGTGCTCTACCACTGAGCTACATCCCCAACCCATAGACAAAACCAAATTGAAGGATATTCTACGAAATTCCTGGCCAGCTTAAGAGAATAGAGCTGTGGATATTGCAAGATTGCTCTTTGTAGTTATAACATTAATAAACAGGGTTTTTTTTGTAAGTTTACCTACATGTCTCAGTGCCAGGCTCCTTAGAGAAGAGGATTACCTAACGTTTCCTTTCTCTGTTTCTACTGCAGACATTGAAGGATGCCATAATAACAATGGTGGCTGCAGCCATATTTGCCTTGGGTTGGAGAAGGGCTACCAGTGTGAATGTCCCCGGGGCTTGGTGCTATCTGAGGATAACCACACTTGCCAAGGTAGTACATGGGCAGGCTTGACCTCTGCTCTGATTTAGACTTCCTCCTCCTCTGGGCTCCCTCCTCAAGTGTGTCAGATTCTCATCCTTCAGGACACAGCCCTTTGAGCGGTTGTGTGTCTGGGTCGTCATTCAGGAAGCTTTCCAAAAAAAAAGATCTTTAGGAAAAGATTTTCCAAGAGCAGACTTTCCTTTGCTGTTTCCCTTTGATTTTTTTCTAATTGTTATGACTAATAATACAGCTACACATTTGGAAGTTGAAGACATTCATGCAGCTCTCTTTTCTAACAGATAATAGAGTCGAAGCTAAATTGAACCCACCCCAGAGAGTAGGTTCTTCTCCCATCCACAGTTCTCTGGGAACTATTATCGGAAAATTTACTTCTTAATGTCCAGAATATTGATTTTTTTAATCTAGCAAATAATTARCATCTATTTCTTATTTTTTCATGTATTTCCTGTTGTTCTGGTGTGTCTTCACATATTGGATTCTGATAATACCCATTAACTATTTGTAGGATTTGGAGAAATAAACACAGAAATGTTGAGGAAAAGTAATCTTTTTAATATTAAGCTGAAGTGGAGTTTACAGTCAGAGTTTATGGTTTACTGAGCAACTCAGGGACAATTTGGAACCCTTTCTCAAATGCACTAATACTGTGTTTATTACCTCTGTTTTATGGGGCAATAATTAACAGTAAAATCAAACCAGAGTCATTGTGTCATTTAAGCCTGTATCAAAGCAGTGCTTTTCTGTTTTGCCAGTAAATTATGTTGGTGCTAAAAGCTAACCCTCTAGGTGTTTCACTTATGGAGTTATGCCACATATTGAACCAAATGTTTGCTGAAATTACACTTGAATATGATATTTCCTATTTTGAGGAACAATATATTTCAGGAGCATTACTTGGCCATGACCTTGGTAGTTAAGAATCCTGGTTTTATTCACCAACTTGTTTTGAACTTCGTTGATTTCAGAGCAGGTGACGTGGACATCATTTTTTCCCAGAAACCTTCCTTATCTTTTCTCCCAATTCAGGTTTTATTTATTTATTTACCAGGTATTGAACCCAGGAGCACTTAACCACTGAGCCACCTCCCCAGCTCTTTGTTTGAGACAAACAAATGGTGTTGCTGAGTTGCTTGGGGCTTTGCTAAATTGCTGAGGCTGGCTTTGAACCTGTGATCCTCCTGTCTCTGCCTCCCAAGCCTCTGGGATTGCAGGTGTGTGCCACCAAGCCCAGCTGGGTCACGGTTTTAACAGCAGCCCTCTTTCATGCAGTCCCTGTGTTGTGCAAGTCGAGTGCCATTGAAGTGAGCGTCCCCAGGGAGCTGGTCGGTGGCCTGGAGCTCTTCCTGACCAACACCTCCTGCCGAGGAGTGTCCAATGGCACCCATGTCAACATCGTCTTCTCCCTCAAGACATGTGGCACCGTGGTCGATGTAGGTCCCCCCCTGTGGGCACTTGGGAAAATGCCAAAAGCTGGTTTCTTGGGGGGTAGTTGGCAGAGGGATACAGTAGGGCTTGTGTCATAGATGAGACATCTCCACGCAAAAGAGCTGAGCACCAAACACCTATGTCATTCAATTAATAAACACATTATTGAACACGTGCTATGGTGCTGTCATGGTGAGAATATGGAATTAAGAGTTCTGCCATTCCTGTTCTCAAATAGCCCTCTGTCTCCCATACATGCAGGTATTTTCCTGCGTGCATCAGCACYGGTGGCACTAGGAGGCTGGCTATATCCTCTTTGAGAAGTCATTTTATTTGAAGAAAGTGACTAATTGAGATGATGGTTCATTTGTGAATGAGTTCAAGTATCRAAGCAGGTGGAGGTAAAAGGTTTATACTTTCATCCAAATATTGCACACAGTCCTATGCCAGCAAATCTGAGAGGCATTGAAATAAGAGGCCTGTCTCATAGGAACTTGTGCAGCTGCCCTGAGATGACAACATATAAAATATAAATAAGAGATGAACTGAGGTAGATGACAGGGACTCTAGGAGTCCCGTAAGGGGACAAGTGGGACTTGGATTAGGGTGGAAATGTGTGCAGGACTCACTCAGAAGCAGAGGACAAGAAAGAAGCTTTTAGGTGGGCACCAATGAGAAAAGTCTGAGAGAGGGGAATATTCAAGCCTGTGCTGAGGTGGCCGTGACCGGGTGGAGCTTGCCTGTCTGGCAAGGAGTTCACACAGGGTCCYGCTTTAGGCAGGTTGTGTGGATTCTTTCTGTGGATGATCAAAGGAAATGCCGCCATCATGCTGGCACCACKCTCTGGTGCATGGCAGAGAGGATGGCATTGGAGATGAAGATCTGAAAATCATCTGCGCTGTCRTGAGCGCCTGCACCTGGGCGTGGATGAGTCCTGCACAAGGCTGTGCCTGCAGCAGAATTACCAGGTCCAGAATTCCTGAAAAAATAACTTGCAGATGCCACCCTTTTCTAAAATACCAGAGCTTGGAMTTTGCTGAATCCACATGCATCAGGTTTTATGAGCAATGCTCCAAAGGAATGTGTGCGTTAATCAAGAAGTAGCACATAAAACTCTCAGTCAGGCTGTCTCACTAATAGGGCTATAAAAAATAAAGCCTCCAGTTCAGACAACCAAATGGTGTGTTTTGATATAAACAGATGTTTGGAGAAAGCTAATGTGAGAAGGGGGGGGAGGACATCTCTGTAGAAATAAACAAAATCTCTTCCTCTCCTTGACTTGGCCTGGCTCAGGTGGTGAATGACAAAATCGTGGCCAGCAACCTGGTGACAGGTCTACCCAAGCAGACCCCAGGGAGCAGTGGGGACATCATCATACGGACCAGCAAACTGCTGATCCCGGTGACCTGCGAGTTTCCCCGCCTGTACACCATTTCTGAAGGATACGTTCCCAACCTTCGCAACTCCCCCCTGGAAATCATGAGCCGGAATCACGGCATCTTCCCGTTCACCCTGGAGATCTTCAAGGACAATGAGTTTGAAGAGCCSTACCGGGAGGCTCTGCCCACCCTCAAACTTCGCGACTCCCTCTACTTTGGCATCGAGCCCCTGGTGCACGTGAGCGGCCTGGAGAGCCTGGTGGAGAGCTGCTTTGCCACCCCCACCGCCAAGGTGGACGAGATCCTCAAGTACTACCTGATCCAGGACGGGTAACTATGCGCCCCACCGCTCCAGCAGTCCAGGCTGTCACCGGATTTTTATTAGTTCAGGAGCCCTTTATTAACATCTTGGAGGTGAAGACATGGGAAAGAAAGGAGAGCACAAAATGATATTGGGCACCGTGTCACACGCCTGTAATCCCAGTGGCTCGGGAGGCTGAAGCAGGAGGATCACAGGTTCAGCCAGCCTCAGTAACTTAGTGAGATCCGGTCTCAAAATAAATATAAAAAGGGTTGGGGGTGTGACTCAGTGGTAAAGTGCCCTGGGTTCAATCCCTAGTACAAAATAAAAAAGAAAGAAAGAAAGAAAGAAAAAACTCCAAAGTAACTAACTGGTACCAAAACAACATGCAGAAAAGCAATTTGGAAATATAAATATCGAATTTGATGGAACAAAATAGTATATTGAATAATTTTCCATTTTTAATACCTGCAGGATACCTAGGAGGGCCAGGTCAGTGGGCAGCTGGATATGTGTATCAGGCTCAGGAACAAGGTCAAGACTAGAAGGAAGACAGGGAACAGCTCCGTTGATAGCTGGGACTGTAGGATCAGAGGAGGCTGGGTGTCTGTGAGGTGGGTGCTGAGCCTGTTGGGGTGGCTGAGATCACATGGGCAAGAGGAGGTGAAGCTGACACAGGAGCCAGGAACTTTCCACCCAAAGTCAAAAGAAATGAAATGAAGCCCAAGAGCAAGAACACACAGGCAAGAATTTGGAGTTTTAATTCAAGGACAGGGGAACAGCACGAAGGGAGAGAAAAATTCAGGCTGCCTGCTAACCAAGGAAGGGACCTGTCTTGGCGCCATCCTACACCTGGTCCCTGTGGTTGGTTTAAGAATTGGAGGGTTAGGGCTGGGGTCGTGGCTCAGTCGCAGAGCACTTGCCTAGCACATGCTGAGCACTGGGGTTGATCCTCAGCACCACATAAATATAAATAAATTAAATAAATGTATTTTAAAAAAGAACAAGAGGGTAAGAAAACACACTGCAATGGGCGGGGGGCAGTAGGAAGAGATAGTTAGTAACAGATTATGAATTAAGGCCTGACAGTGTATCCTCCATTTTGCCCCCATTCTGGTCTTTGCCTGTCTCAAAGCTGCAAGAGTAGACTCCTCTCTTAATAAGGATCCTCCTGAGGATCCTTAGTRAGTGCTGTAGGTACGTTGAGGTATCACTGAAAATCTGAATGCTAACAACCATTGTCTACTCTTCCCTGGAAAATTACAATCACATCTCAAACTCATAATGTTATCTCATGAGTTTCTTCCTCCTTCTAAATGTCAGTTGGGACAAGTCTCACACGGGGTCAGGAGTTGCTGCTGCCCAGCCTGGGAATGGTCCAGTAAGTGCCACACAAGTGAGCCCCGGGTTCTTCCCTGTACTCTTGGCCTGCAGGCTCTTGGAAGTTTCTAGTTTGCTTTAGCATCTTCTCATCTCTCACCACAGCCTTCACCTGCTGCTGTCAATCCCTTGMACAGTGATTTTTCAACCCTTGGTGCTTATTAGGATCAATTGAGAAACTTATTTTAAAAAAGCAACACCCAACCCAGGCCTCTCTCTCTGCTACTCTTGTTGTCTTAATTCCAGCCCTGGACCAGGAAAATGGCTTCCTACCCACCCCTCGAAAACCTCAGCTCCACAAAGTCCCCTGAGAATTCATTGGAGAGAAAAATATGATCTCATCCCAGCCCTCCTGAAAATGTTTTAATGTCTCCTTCTTACCTTTGGTGGGTAAATTTAGTGGTTTTCCAGGAGGGCTTTCAGCCTCAGATTCCTGCAGCCTTGTTGGCTCATTTTCACAACAGGGACAATTCATCATTCTGAGCAGCCTTGGGAGGTCAGTCATGACGGGGTCTGTGTGGAGGGGATCTGTAGCCCTTTGGATTTCTTGTCATACTTAAGTGATTCCCAGAAAGTTTTAAAATGAAAAGCAGAAGCATCATTTTTTCTTTCCTCCCCCCCCCCTCTCTCTCTCCACACAGTGCTGATTAAGGAGGACTTTTGCTCCTTTTTAATTTTCTTTAACTGCCTTAATGGAGTGTTCTTCAATGACAGTGAGTGGACATGTTTAAAGACTATAGTTTGTTAGGTTCCAGCATAAACGCTGTGAAACCATTCCTGTAATCAACATCATGAACATTTCACACGCCCTAAAAGCATGTGCGGGGCCCTGGGTTCAATCCTCAGCACCACATAAAAGTAAATAAATTTTTTTTAAAAAGAATGCTTTACCTTTAAATAATAATAATATCTGTGAAATTTGCTTATATATTTGTTATTTAGACTTTTTGTTTTATACAGTTCTAAGAATTTACCCTATTTATTTTTCTAACCCTTAGCAAATATAAGAGAGAATATGTGTGTATGTGTGTGTGTGTGTGTGTGTGTGTGTGTGTGTGTGTGTATCAAAAGAAAAGGGCAAATGTGAGAATTGAAAACCCATGTGGTAGGCAGGCGAATAGCACCATCATAGGGATAAGAGGGATAGATGGGGAAATACCCTACTCAGCCTGGCTGCAGCCCTCAGCCTCTGACCTTGGCCTCTTCCAATTCCTGCTTCTGCCAGATGGAATTACTGGCAATTCACACTGGCATTCCTTGTCGCCAGGAGGCACTGCTGTTTCCTCGGCCCCACCTTTTCTTCTATCTGATTCTTCTTGGCCCTTCAAGATTGAGCAGGGGTTTACTTCCTCCTTGAAGCCTTCCCCTCTGTGTCCCCTGGTGATCTAAAAGCCCTCTTTCCCTTTCTTTCTTCCTCAATGCTTAGCAGAATTGGTGGGGGGGGCATCATTAAATATTTGTTAAGAGAATTATAAATGAGCATACCAGTAATTTGGGGCTAGTTCACAAACCAAAAATAAACATACTGCACTTTACTTCTATTCATGAATTATTTGGTGATAATCATTTTAAAAGTTATTCATTGCCTTTAGCTTACATTTAAATCAGGCCAGTTATCTCCTGAGGAGGAACATGTCCAATTCACTTCCCACTGATTTTAGTTGGTACACCCTCCGAGAAGGCAAGACAATTTAATGCTAGTCTAAGAAAAATATAATTAGAAAGTGAATTTCAGAAAAAAGAAACATTGGATTCTAAAGTCAAGTGTTGAATAACATTTTCSTAAATAACTATTTTGGCTTCTCCTATATCACTTTCTTTTAGGATATGAACTTGSAGTTGTCAGAACTGGTATTCTGTAATCATAGCAAACAGTAAGTCAAGAGTAGAAATTTGTCCTGGATTCTATTCTGTTATATGATATCTTATAATATCATTTTCTCTTTTAAATAAGGATAATGATATTTAAAAATTTTTTTAGTTGTAGATGGACACAATACCTTTATTTTGTTTATTTTTATGTGGTGCTGAGGATTGAACCCAGGGCCTTATATGTGAGGTGCAAGTGCTCTRCCACTGAGCCACAAACCCAGCCCAAGGATAATAGTATTTTAGATAAACAAATGGAAGATGCTGAGGGCATTTAAATGAAAAGCATGATTTCAATATTTAGTATTACTATTGTTAACCTAGATATCTAGATACTAGGCTAGCAAGGGCTTTTTTTTTTTTTTTAAGTACTGGGGAGTGAACCCTGAACCACTTTACCACTGAGCCACCGCCCTGATCCTTTTTATTATTTATTTATTTTTATTTTTATTTTCAGACAGGATTTTGCTAAGTTGCTCAGGGCCTCATTAAGTTACTGAGTTTGACCTTGGACTTATGATCCTCCTGCTTCAGGATTCTCTGGGATTACAGGCCTGCACCATCATGCCTGCTAATATTACTCCTTTTTATATTTATTTTTTTGTGGTGCTGGGGATCAAACCCAATGATATGGAGCTACAGCCCAGCCCCAGCATTGCTCATTTTCATGTCCTCTGCAGCACTCAGCAGAGGGTCTTGCACGGTTTAGGTGTGCAAACAGTACTTACAACATAACTGGAAGAAGGTAGAAATTACCTTAACCTCGAGAAAATAAAAATGAATAGATATAAGAAACAGCAGAAACCAGATCATCTGTTTAGATCCTCTCCAACTTGGTGGAATAAGGTACCAGTAGTAATATAAGTCGAGATTCCTTATTTTCAACAACTGTATGAAATTTTTCAACAGCAGCAAAACAGTAGTTAACAATGAACTAGATCACAGTCCTTAAGCATATGGAGCTGGAACCTCATTTCTTAGACTTTTGTTTCTGATACCCACTTTTTTATTGGCCTGGTATCAAACTATGAGACATCCATTAAAAGGCAACTATGCCCAGGAAAAAAAGGGTCCCTTTAGCATTTAGAAAGGAACAAGCAATACAAAGGTGATCCTTGGCCTGTAGGAGAAAATGCTCATCTAAAGATGTGACTAAAACCATGACAGGGAGCATCGGTCACACATCTTCTCCCCAGCTAACCCTGAGGTAAACTCCCAAGCCCTTCACCTTGAAGTTTATCATGACATTTAGAAGAAGAGGAATTAAGACAACTTGAGGTGAATGACTTCTCCCCAGTAGTTATTCCCTAAGTTAAATATGTACCAGTTTTTTGATGCATGGATTGTGCCATGTTCACTTTTTTTGGAGGGGACATAGCAGGAACTGAAGTCAGGGCTACTCGGCCACTGAGTCATATCTCCACCCCATTTTGTATTTTATTTAGAGACAGGGTCTCACTGAGTTGCTTAGAACTTCGGTTTTGCTGAGGCTGGCTTTGAACTGGTGATCCTCCTGCTTCAGTCTCCCGAGCTGCTGGGATTATAGGCATGAGCTACCGTGCCTGGCATATGTTCACTTTTGTATCCCCTTTAGTGGTTGGTGTCTTTTTGAAATAAATGTTACTCGTGTTGCTAATAYTTAAACATATTCACCCCCCAGGAAATGCAGGGCCCATTTGTAGGCTCATCAGACAAAGGTASGGTCAGACTCACTCAGCCAGCAGGGCTTGCCTGCGGAGGCCTGCACAGGAAGGGAATGACATTTTTCCTTCATTCTCAAAAAGCGGAGTGCAGCCCAGCCCGCTCCACCCACTTTCCTCCCCCTGGGCCAGATGTGTTGGCAGGATTGTTTTTCCAACTCTGTGGAAATGCTCCCGTCTTACGTGCTGTCCGTGCTACTTCCAGCTGCGTCTCGGATGACTCGGTGAAGCAGTACTCATCCCGGGATCACCTCGCCAAGCACTTCCAGGTCCCCGTCTTCAAGTTTGTGGGCAAAGACCACAAGGTGAGCCGAACACTTTTATCTTGTCACCCCAGATCTGAGCTTCCTTTTTGGTGTCCCAGTGTGTGATATTCTAAGACCCCTGAGAAAATACAGGGAAACTGGCCACCAAGAAGCTTAACACCTCCATGCATGTCACAAGTGCCAGAAACTGTGCTTCTTCAAAGAGAATATACTATAGGATGGTAGTTTGAAATCTGGGGATCAGATGTGGATGAAGAAACCAGTGTGTGGTCAACTACAGGCAAAGGAGGTGRACAGGAAACTCCCAGAGCAGACAGGGAAATGGGAAGTGAAAACAGTACCTCGAATGCCAATTGCAAGACACCACTTCATATGTATCAAATCTATAAAAATTACAAATTAAAACACTTGGTTATAAGGAGAAGTATACAATGGCCCAACAAATTGGCACACTTTCTGGAAAGTTATCTGATAATGTGTAATTATAACCATTAAATCATCATATTCTTTTATCTAAAAATTCTCATTCTGGCAGTTTCTCAAAGACAAAACCAAAACAAAGGGGTTTGTTGGTTGGTTGCGTTTATAGAACATCATTTTAAGGAAGGAAGGAAGTCCACAAACTAAGCTGAGGGTATATAAATTTAATTCAATATTAAGCAGTTATTAAAATGATAAAGATGAGAAAAGCAGACATGAAAAGTGTCAGGGATTTTTATGTGCATATTGAATATGCTACATTATATATATATATATATATGCATGTATATACACACACACACAGGGATAAAGGTTAGAAMAGTATATACCAAAAAGGCTTTAGTGTGACAACATGGAATTTTTTTGTCATCATTACAGTTGTTGAAGTCTTTAAGCTAAAGGAAGCCAGAGGGCCAGGTGTGGTGTTTCACAGCTATAATCCCAGCAGCTCTGGAGGCTGAGGCAGGAGAATCACAAGTTCAAGGCCAGCCTCAGCAAGGCCAGACTCTATTTCAAAATTAAAAACATAGAAAGGGCTGGAGATGTAGCTCAGTTAAATGCCCTAGGTTCAACCCCCAGTATGGATGGAGGGATGGATGGATAGATAGATTAGATAGATGGATAGATGATAGATAGATAGATAGATAGATAGATAGATAGATGATAGAATAAAGGAAGTCAGAAGGTGCCATTCTTTCTCATGCCTCCTGTATGTGTGTCCCTGTCCTTCCTGAAGGCCTGCTGAAGTGGTGCCTAATCCTCATCCCCTCCTCCTCTAGGCAGTAGCCTCAGGCAGCTTCTTATAGAGAAGTCTTAGGTCACCAAAGAAGCGCAGGAGCCAGTGTTTTTCCCAGACCTTGATGTGAAGAATGAGATGTTGCTTCACAAAACTCTCTTCTGCCCCAGCCAAAAACAGAAGTTACTGGTGCGGGTTTTAACTTATCCATGTGACTCAGATTCCAACTTCACCACATTATCAAATATGTTAACTGGAAAAGTTTCTTATTAAGTCTCAGTAAAATAGGGACGGGGTCATGTCTAGCTCAGAGTGTCCTATTAGGACTGAGATGACATTTGTGGACATTTAGTGTTGTGTCTGGCTTCTATGGGTCCCTCACAGTGGCATCTGTTTTCTTTTCTTTTTGGGGGGGGTGGGGGTGGGGGGACCAGGGATTGAACTCAGGGGCATTTGACCACTGAGCCACATCCCCAGCCCTATTTTGTATTTTACTTAGAGACAGTTGCTCAGCACCTTGCCATTGCTGGGGCTGGCTTTGAACTTGCCATCCTCCTGCCTCAGCTCCCAAGCTGCTGGGACTACAGGTGTGCGCCACTGAGCCTGGCAGTGGCATCTATTTTTATTTAATGAGGCTCATGATCACCTTTTCAGGAAGTGTTCCTGCACTGCCGGGTTCTTGTCTGTGGGATGCTGGACCAGCGTTCCCGTTGTGCCCAGGGTTGCCACCGGCGAGTKCGGCGTTCAGCAGAGGAAGGAGAGGACTTGGAGGGCCTGCAGAGCCATGTGCTTACTGGTGGCCCAATCAGCATCGACTGGGAGGACTAGTTGGTTGTAACACCAGAGTCCCTGATTTGAGCCACACTCCTCTCTGGAACTTCTCCCCACAACCTCTGAGAACATTCCAGAACTTTCTAGAACACCTGCGTGCTTTTAACTGGGTACTGTGCATTTACACAAACTCCCAGAATGGACTCACTAATTCTACTTCACTGGGTTGGAAGAGGCCACAGCACTGCTGACCAGTGTGGCCTGGGTGGGTCTTCCTAATGTGGAAAGCTAAGCACTCCACAGAGAAGGCTCTTCCATTTCCTTCGTTTCTTTCCTACAATAAAATAACTCATGTATGATGTAATAGGACCACTAAAATCAGAACCTGGGTATAATGTTTCAAGTTAGAAGCTTAAAACAAACCAGTTACTAAAGGTATGTCCTAAATACCCAAAGACTCCCTAAATAAATAAAAATAATTATACCCCGAAAACTCAATTCAAACAGAATTCAAATAGAATAGAGGATTTGGAAGCTCATTAATAAAACAATGTGTAATAAGAACATGTTATTTAGTTTTTCTCTTGCATAATATTTTCTTTTGATGTTTTATATTGCCTTAAGTGAAATATTTTTACTATTAATGTTAATAAATTTACCAACAGGCATTGAAGTGGTTCAGTAATTGAACTATAAACAAAATTAGTTTAGTGCTTTATGTCCTGAGAATTAGTATTCTATGCCCTTAGTAAGACAGTAGAAAGAGGTATAAAATTATATCATTCTTTTTTCTACTCATAGGTGCTTGATAAATTTTTTTGAAATAAACATCACAAACTTCATCAAATCCAATTTCTTGCTTTGTCACCTAATGTTATGACTTACGTTAAGATCAAGAAAAGTGTTTCTTCTTTTTCTTTTAAAAATAGCTACAGCTGGGTGGGGCTGTTCAGTGGTAGAGCGCTTGCATAGCATGTATGAGGCACCACATATAAATAAGTAAATTAAAATAAGGTATTGTGTCCACCTTCAACTAAAAAGACATTTTTTTAAGTAGCCACAGTTGATAATTCTTAATGGAGCTGGTAGAATTAACAAAAGGAAGCTAAAGGAGTAAAATGCAGATCAGAGGCAAGCAACCTTTCCTCTCAGGGGACACTTGGTAAATGTTTTAGGTGCTCTGGGTTCTCTGTCACAAATACTGGGCTCTGTGGTCACCGAGTAAGAGCATCAGCTCAGGTGAGTGTGCTGTGTTYTGAACAGCTGTAAAAAAACAAACAAACAAACAAAAAACAACCAACAAACAAAAAAACAGGCTTTGAGCACTGTGTGGTAGCTACTCAGGAGGCTGAGGCAGGAGGATCCTAAGTTAGCCTGGGCAACTTAGTGAGATCCTGTAGCAAAATAAACATTTTAAACCATGTGGTGGGGTTGTGGCTCAGTGCTAGAGCATTTGCAATCACCTGAGGAACATTTGCAAAATGCCAGTGTGTGGGCAGCAGTGCCAGAGAGTCTTTATTGGTGTGATTTTAATCCAGTCACAGCTGGGAGCTAGCTCACTCCTGCAGGTCACAGGGACTTCCTCTAGCTCTATCAAGTGCAACTCAGAACTTAGCATGACTCTCACCGCACTTAATACCMGGGGATACCAATAGGGGCGGCCTTGGAGGAAGAACTGGCACCTCAGAGCCCTAATTCCAGCTGGCCTTCATCAGGTAAGCCTCTGACCCCGTCCCCTGTTTTTCTCTCTTCGGCTCCAGTGGAAATCATGGTTGTCATTGGGGAACTTACCGGTATGGGTTCTGTTCTCTTCTAAGTGAAATGGAAAGGTAAGTGATAATGGAATTCATTCATCTCTTCAAGTTTTCTAAAAAGTACACTTTATTAAACGTGAGGTGCTGGCTGGCAACTGAAGCATGGGCCAGAGGAAAGTCATTGCTTTGCAACTGGTTGGACTCCCCCAAACTTCACTTAGGAATGTGAGGATCAGGTCCAGGGATAGGAGGGTTTGCTTGTAGTTTCATTTTTAAGCTAAGAACTGAATTCCCAGGCACCCGTGCCTTGGCTGGGAGATCAGAGTTCAAGTGAAGAACAGTTTTCAGTCTCTCCACATCTCTTTCTCAATTTTCCTCGAGTGATTCAACTTGCTGTTTTCCTTTCTCCTGMTTTATGGTATCCAAACTGGTGGGAGAAAGGCTGACAAACATCTACCACATCAGCATCTCTGAGACTTGACAGCTGYGGGGTCACTCAGAACCAGGGAGGGATCAGCTCATGCTCATAATTCTTCTTTCTCCTCTTCTGCGCAGATGCAAGCTGCCCGTTGGCTATTCATAAAGGGCCGGCAGCCCAAGGTCCATACAGTATTGAACACGGTGTCAGCCAGAGAATCACAGGCTACTTGAAAAAGATGAAGAGAAATATAAAGGTGAACACGGAGGACTATCCCTAGTGGTATCATTGTGAGGGGTACAGTGTATTTTCAAAGATGACATGATACTCTCTGGGCTTCATGTCAAAGTGGGGGCAGTCATCTGAATACAGAATTAAAAGGAAAAGCATACATTTAAGAKAGACTTGTTTTAGAAAAACAACCATCCATTCCAATAAAGCAGAAAACACTTTGAGGTGTTAGTAATTGGAATCTCCAGTGCCTCTACGTTCACTGTTGCCCAAGATACTCCCTCAGATAACACTGCCAYTGTTTCCTGTAGCTTTCCCTGTTCAAGTAAGTTCAATCATTCTACTGAAAAACACTTGAGTGCATGACATGTCTGTCAGCCACTCTCTTAGGGGCCAGGGATACACAGACAAAAGGTATCATCCCCAACTCAAGGACCTCACCAAGAGGTAGACARGATGGGCAGGTCCACAGAGAGTTCCACTCCACCATGATGAAAGTAACCCCAAGGCGGTGTGGGAGCCCACAGCAAAGGTCTCTAATCTTTTGGGGGCAAGGGTTCTGAGGGAAGGCATCTCAGAGCAAGTTTCAACTTTAAGAATGATCAGGGAAATGAAGTCCTGATACAACAAATGAAGTCCTTCAACTTGCATGAATCTTGATTGTGGAATTTAYTACAATCATATAGTAATAATGACAGAGTGGCACTGACATGGATCAATGGAATAGAATTAAAAGTCTAGAAATAAGTCCTTACATTTATTATCATTTGATTTTTGTCAGAGTGCAAAGACCAATTTAATGTGGGAAAGAACAGTCTTTTCAACAAATGATGCTTTAACAACTGGAKGTCCACATAGAAAAGAATGAAGCCAGACCTTTTCTCATGCCATAAACAAATATTAACTCAAACTGGATCACAGACCACAGCTAAAACAATGAGTCTCTAAGAAAAAACCAGTAAATCTTCTGGACATTGGGTAGGCACCCTTATTACTACACAGGACACCAAAGTACAAGTGGTTAAAGAAAAATAAATAAATAAGTTGAACTTAATCAAAATTTAAAACTTCTGTGCTGCAAATAATACCATCAAGAAAATGAGGGGAAAAAAATAGGAGAAAATATTTGCAGATGGTATCTGTTGAAGAAGAACTTGGAGAACTTTTATAACTCAATAATACAAAGATTAATAACCCAACTTCAAAGGGTCAAAGGATCTGAATAGACAGTTCTCCTAAGCATATAAGCAGTGGTCAGTAAGCACAGAAAAAGATGCTTGACATCATTAATTGCCACTGAGATGCAAATCAAAACCACAATGAGGGGCTGGGGTTATGGTTCAGTGGTAGAGCACTAGCCTAGCATGCGCGAGGCCCTGGGTTCGATCTCAACACCACATAAAAATAAATAAACAAAATAAAGATATTGTGTCCATGTAAAACTTAAAAAAATATTTTAAAAAACCTACAATGAGATACTACTTCACAAGCACTATGGTCTATAATTTAAAAAAAAAACAGATAATAACAAATGTTGGTGAAGATGCAAACATTTATACATTGCTGGTGAGAGTATAAAATGGTGCGGTTATTTGGTGAAACAGTTGGCAATTCTTCAAATAATTAAACATAGAATTACTATATTACCCAGCAATTTCTCTCYTAGTTATATTCCCAAGAGAAATGAAAACATAGTTCCCCACAAAAGCTTGTACATCAATGTTCATAGCAGCAGTAGTTTAGCCAAAAGATGGAAATAACCCAAATATCATTKGATGGGTAMATGGATTTTTTTTWRAATTYTTAATATTTATTTATTTTTTTTAGTTCTYSGYGGACACATCTTYGTTTGTATGTGGTGCTGAGGMTCRAACCYGGGCCRCACGCATGCCAGGCRAGCGCGCTACYGCTTGAGCCACATCCCYAGCCCCCTGGATTTTTTTTTAAATGTTAAAGCCATACAATGAAATATTAYTCAGCARTTAAAAAAGAATTAAATACTGATACTTTCTACAACATGGATAAACCTTGCCAAATGAAAGAAGTCAGTCACGAAAGACTGCATATTGCCTTCTTCCACTTATATGAAATGATAGAATAAACAAATCTATAGAGTAGATTCTTGGTTGCCCTGAGCTGAGCAGTTTGGGGAGAGATCACTAATAGCTATGAAGTGCCTTTTTGGGGTGATGAATATGTTCTGAAACTTGTTGTAGGGCTGATTGCATAATTCTGTGAAAATACCGACAAGCATTTAAGTGAGGGAGTTGTATATGAATTATAGCTTAAAAAAGCTGTTTCAACACCACCAACAAATAGATGGTCAGGGTGTTCCAAGCACAGGGGCAGAAAGGTTAGGGTCACCAACTCAAGTGGTTTGCAGTGGCAGCTGTMAGGAGAGAAATCCTGAATATCCAAAGTATTGGTGGAGGAGGTGAGCCAGGGTTGAACAGGAAAGTGCGACCCATCAAGAGAAGACTACTGAAAGACTTTAACAGGAGAGGCAGGGTGGGGACATGTTGAGATGATCAGATTCACGTGCTATAAAAATAGTGCTGMTCCCAGTGCATAGAACAGACTGGAWGGGACKTAGAGACTGGGTTAATCTGCAGCAACCAGGCAAGTGGGATTTCAAGGAGATATTTTTAGGAGAAAAAAATCAATAGGACATGGCTTGGAGGAGTCACTTGACCSGACCTGAGATTAACAGCAGGTTCCTTTTCACCCTTAGCAGATGCAGGCTAGAGTGACTGTCCCTTTTACAGGRCCCAATTAATTATTCACGGTTTCARGTCCTTGCACTTTYAATCTAGGACTACACTCCAGAYATYGATCCAAGAGTCTTTCTCCTGCTGGCATGCTCTGTGGTATGAGGCCAGCTTTATAAGCCTGCATTTCAAACTTTACCATCTAAAACTATAAAATAATAATACCTGGATATAATGTCTTGGCTTCAGAAGCTGAGAGATTAAAACTAGGRAAATAAAATCACAGAGTCAGTGCTGGAAACGGAGTAGCTAAGTAGTACTTAAAAATAATGATTCTAAAACACATAGAAGCCGTTACTCCTAAAAAAAGTTTTCAAAAAATTCCTACCCTGTTGAATATATATATAAAAGGGCTTAAAGCAAATTGAGTGGTCCTGTTATGCAGCATGACTCTTTATGTGGAAAATTATTTAGCAGTGGAATGGATAGCCCAGTCCAGTTGGGCAACTCCTCCTCCTGTCTTCAAGGGCAGACTTTTATTTCTCTGGGAAGGCTCTGGTGTGGTCCTGCCACCAGGAGCAGTGCCAGCAGCCCCTGGGCAGGACAGCAAAGCACTTTTGTGAACAAGTGCCCAGAATCTTCCCTCACTCTTCCTGCGTGGTCCTGTGTTCCAGAGAGCAAGCTCYATGAGCCCTGGCCACCTCTCTGTGTGAAACAAGATCAAAACCCCGTCACCAGTGAATGTCCTTAAGACACCTACCTTCCACGTTGGAGACAAAGCCCAGGCTCCGCTTAAGGTCAGAGCAGATCGAGTGCAGGCACCATCGGAATTTTGCATCGCAACGATATTTGTTGGCACCRCAAGTGTCATAGCAGACGTCCAGCTGGTTGCAGCACTTGGTCATGGCTGGAATGCCCAAGTCCATCTATAAAAGGGAAGAAGAAAAAGAGAAGGACAAAAGTGCCACGTTTAGACCAAAGACCTTAGAAAACCTCACCCAGCTTGGGACTGATCCAGTTCTCAAATGCTGTTACATATTCAGATGGATTCAGAAACTCCAGTGGCCAGGTAGGACAAGCCTGAGGGGCCCGGGCTGCTAGGTTTGGATTATTATTTGTTTATTAGTTTAACAAACAATGCTGGGCCCATTTTTTATCTTTTTCTCTTGAGATGTCAGTAATTTTCAAGCCTGCAGGCAGCTACAGTGACGAAAATAGAAGCCAGAAGGAAAGTCAAGAGCACAGAGTCACTGGACCTCCAAATTCCATAAACACTTAGGTTAACATTTCCATCTAAGATTGTGCTTGAGAAAAGGAGTCCAAGACTAAGAAAGTATTAAAAAATTCCTCCATCAAGAGATCATCAGCCAATGAAATGCCACATCATATACAACCACAAGAATGGGCTCCTAATAARTTATACTCCATGTATGTATAATATGGCAAAATATGCTCTAGAGTCATGTATATCTAAAAAGAACAAAAAAAAAAATAAGGAACTTTGTGAATCAGAAAAAAAAAAAAGAGCTCATCAGTATTTCTCAGGGACCCATCCCATACAACAAAGTGGACTGCGGTCAAACAATAACATTACGTAAACACATACACACACACACACACACACACACACACACACACACACAGTGTTCTATAAACAACTCTGAATGTTGTGGCCTAAACTGAGTAACTAAGGTCACTGAATGCCACTCTTAGAGTTATGAAAAAGGAATTTATTTTTGGATGGTTTTAAAAGAAGATAGAAAGGATTTTTAGAGATGAGGACTGACTTAGGATACAGAAGATAGATAAATGAGCATATCATATGAGAGCAAATCAATTCAGGTCTCAAACATCTTAGCAGGCAATAACGTGCACGTATATGGGTGCATGTATATTTAAAAACCTTTTTCAGACTGGTAGGGTAGTTCAGTACTAGAGCACTTGCCTACTATGTGTTAGGCCCTGAGTTTGATCCTCAGCACCACAAAATAAAACAAAACAAAATTTTTTTTTTTAATTAGGAATAAGGTCAAGTTGATGGATAGCCTGGACTTCMAAAGTAACTAGTTAGATTTGATAAGGAATCTTGAGCAAGGAGGAGACATGATTAAAAATGTGACCTAAGAAGAGTAATCACTCTGTGATGTATAAAGGATYGGGAAAAGTGTATCTTGATGTAAGTGGAGCATTTCAGAATCTTTTGCAGTTTTTCTAATAAATTAGACTTGGACTTGGATGGGAGCTGAGTAAATCTGGCTCCAGGGTATGGGTGAGGAGTGAATATCCAGTGATTATAGATCCTTTCCTCTAAGTTATATTTAAATGTTAAAAATTAAGGAGCTGGGGATATAGCTCAGTTAGTAGAGTGCTTGCCTTGCATGCACAAGGCTCTGGGTTTGATCCCCAGCACCAAAAAACAAAACAAACAAAAAAATTAAAAATATTTTTAGTTGTAGATGGACACAATACATTTATTTATTTATTTATTTATTTATATGTGGTGCTGAGAATTTAGCCCAGTGCCTCACACCTGCCAAGCAAGTGCTCTGTCACTGAGCTATAACCTCAGCCCAAATGTTCTCTTATTTGAATCTTTATTCCATTTTCTATATCTAATACAGCACAAGGACTTTAGCCATTAAAAATGCCCTTTTAAGCTGAAAAATGTTATCACATTAAGAGTTAATCTAACACATTAGATGAGGCAAAGATCCGRATGCTACAATTCTGGATAAACTCCCATTATCTGATACCTAAGGTAAAGGATTTTGCTGTCCCTGTTGGGAGTCACCCTGGCTCCAAAGACTAACTTCCCCATCCCCCAAGAAGAGCCATCTAATGGTGAGCCCTGCTGGCTCACATGATCCTTACCCACCAATCAGAAAGCACCGCATGCCAACTGTCAAACCCTTCAACCATTAAACTGTCATAACTATCAAACCTTTATAAATATGCAGAGCTGTTCCTCAATAAAGGCAACGAGCCTTGATCGTTCTTTCAGTCCCTCTCCCCCCAACTAAAAATACATAAGATAGAAGCAGCTGTGTATTAGATGACTATAGTAACTGTTGGGAGTCGCCCCAGCTCCAAAGACTAACTTCCCCATCCCCCAAGAAGAGCCATCTAATGGTGAGCCCTGCTGGCTCACATGATCCTTCCTTCCAATGGTGAGCCCTACTGGCTCACACGATCCTTACCCACCAATCAGACTAGCCCTGCTGGCTCTCCTGATCCTTACCCACCAATCAAAAAGCACCCCATGCCAACTGTCAAACCACCCCCGGCTCTATAAATATTCAGAGCTGTTCCTCAATAAACAGGCATTTTTCTCCGACAGCAAGCCTTGATCGTTCTTTTAGTAACCATCATTCAATTTGATTTAATTGCAGTTCTTGAACTAGTTCTAAATAATAGAGTGCATACCACTTGTTATTTTTTTCCACTTTCAAATTTGTGCATTATAGTTGTATATGATGATGGGGTTTGTTGTTACACATTCGTACATGCACACAATGTAACAGTACCACTTTGGCCAATATCACTCCCCAGCCCTTCCCACTCCCTGGTCCCTTTCCTCTACTAATCTCCCTTAGATTTTTATGAGATCCCCACCCCACACCTTTCTTTCCCTATACTAGTTTCCACCTATGAGAGAAAACATATGACTCTTGACCTTCAGATTTGGCTTATTTTGCTTAATATAATGGTCTCTAATTTCGTACATCTTCCTGTTAATGACATAATTTTATTTTTCTTTACATTCGAATAAAACTCTTTATCCATTCATCAGTTGACAGACACCTAGGCTGGTTTCACAGTTTTGTTATTCTGAATTGTGCTGCTATAAACATGGGTATGCATGTATCAAATATGCAGACTAATTTATTAGGATAAATACCAAGGAGTTATACTGCTTGTTTTTTTAGTTGTTAGTTTTATAAATAACCAGGACTCATTTTCTACCTATTAAATTGATAGCCAGAAATGCATGGTTTCTGTAATATAAATATGTATTTGAAAGAATTTTCAAAGAAAATTTCTAAGAACATTGGTGTTCATAACTTTCTAATGGTTGTTGACAAGGCTGGGCACCCAGGTTGTGCAGGACAGAAGGGATGGATATCTAAGGGGACACCTTCCCCAAGACATATGGATTTATATGTTTATAAAGAAAATGTAGTCAATGGCAGTCAAAATTCTTTTTCTAACAAAATCAGTATATTAAGATGTGCTTCTGACATATAGATGAAAATCATATTGAGGAAAGGGGATTCTTTTATAATTTGTATGAAATGTCACACAGGTGAGCAGCATTTTAATTAGAAGAATAAACATTATGCTGCTTAGAAAATTATTGCAAAGGAGCTGGATGTGGTAGTGCACACCTGTAATCCCAGCAGCTCTGGAATCTGAGGCCCAGGATCACGAGTTCAAAGCCAGCCTCAGCAATTTAGTGAGGCTCTAAGTAACTCGGTGAAACCCTATCTCTAAATAAAATACAAAAAAGATCTGGGGATGTGGTTTAGTGGTTAAGTGTCCCTGAGTTCAATCCCCACTACCAAAAAAAAAGAAAAAGAAAGAAAGAAAAGAAAGAAAATTATTGCAAAGTAAAATCTTTAAGTCAGTAGAAAAATAAAGTGTGGCCTTATTAAGACACAATGCAAACTCAGTTTATTAGGAAATCCCTCTAGCTACATTTTACATGAACTTCCTCTTCTATAATAAAGAAGGTAGAAGAGCTCCTAAAAAGTCTAAAAGGAAACATGGGGGGGGGGGCGACAGTTTGTGAAAGAATCAGTGGTGTCCTAATAAACATTTAGCAAGCWGCTGGGGGCACAACTGCACATTTCTTTGATGTCAATATTCCAAACATAGCTGAGTTGACACTATCAATGTGAAATTAGCGGCTTGCAAAAGTCAGACTGATGTAATTAAAATAACCAGCTCTCAGTAGCAGTACCAGGACATCACTGAAATGGCTCATTAATTAAATTTAAATAACTCAAACTTATCAGATCTATTTTAAATGATGTTTTGATACCCCAAGTGTGGGATAATGTTTTCAGTGGTGATTTCAAAGTTYTAATCCACTATCAGAGGCTTACCTGAGGGACAGTTACCTCTGAGATAAGAAAATCAGATATCTTCTTTGAGAATTTTCTCCCTTCCCCCAGATCTAATTAAAAATACCTAATTATGTTGCCCAGTGAGACTTCATAAATGATCACTTCCATCAGCGATAACTCTTGGATTACTCTTAGTTAAACCCAACCAACCAAGATGTAATGCAGTCAGTACATACACTTTCTGGTACCTTGAGACCCAGGAAATAGGAGCTGCAGCCGTTGGGCTCCTGGGGTTTGTAGCCAGGTCTGGGCATTGGTGCCTTTCCTAGCAGGGGCAAGAGAGGAAAGAAGCAGGAAGAAATATTTAGAAATCAAATATTTGGGAACATTCCTTAGGTAAAGATTTTCTAAAAGCATATTCTGTTTTTCCTTTAAAAGTCATCGTTCCTCACCAGATATTCATATTAAATAGGTGATGACAAGGATGATGTCATAAAAGAAGAACCTTCAGAAAAATTCTCTGCTAATCCCAAAGAATTTTATGAGCAYTTATTTAATAGCAATTTTTAGTTCTAATGTTTCTCCAGTACATGACGTTGAAGGCTTATAAGGCAAAAGCAAGCTAACTTCATGGTTTCAAATTCCTCTGGCTGCTGTACAACCACAGGCCTTTATGAGTGGAACACCAACTGGTCACATGCTCACGGAATCAGAATTTTAACAGTATTGCAAAAGCATTTAAGACTGACTTGATGGGCTGGGGTTGTGGCTCAGTGGTAGAGCACTCACCTAGCACGTGTGAGGCCCTGGGTTTGATTCTCTCAGCACCATATAAAAAATAAGTAAAATAAAGGTATTGTGTCCAACTACAGCTAAAAAATAAGTATTGAAAACAAAAAGACTAACTTGAGGCCAGGAGCAGTGGCACATGCCTGTAATCCCAGAGGCTCAGGAGCTGGGGCAGGAGGTTCGTGAGTTCAAAGCCAGCCCCAGAAGCTTAGAGAGGCCCTGAGCAACTCAGTGAGACCCTGTCTCTAAGTAAAATATAAAAATGGGCTGGGTATGTGGCTCAGTGGTTAAGTTCAATCCTCAGTACCAAAAAAAAGACTGAGTTGAAGAAGTTTAGTAAGATTCCATAAAAATAAACCAAATGATATTAATCAAAAAGCAAAGAAAACACCCAGTGCAATATTTTAGGCATTTGAATCATTGAACAAAGCAGAAACAGTCTTTTTTTTAAAATATTTTTTTTAGTTGTAGTTGGACACAATGCCTTCATTTTATTTATTTATTTTTATGTGGTACTGAGGATAGAACCCACGTGCCTCGAACATGCTCAGCAAACGCTCTACCGCTGAGCCACAACCCCAGCCCCCAGAAGTCTTAAAGTTCTGACTTTCTTGGCTTCTCCTACATGGCTTTTGAGTTGTTCTGTGATCTTGTAAATGTGCAGAGAGAAGCTTTGTCACATGTGTCAGTRGTGATCATAACAGGTAAAAATAACCTTGACCTGAGGTGACCTCATGACAATCATCTGCAATGAGCATTTTAACCCATTWTCCCAGTAAGGAAAATGAAGATTAAAAAGTTGCATACTTATCTAAGATCATATAGTAAGTACGGGAAATAGGTATAAATTCAGATTTCCTGTTTGTCTCCAAAGGTTTCACTACATCTCTGCCTCTTTKCGGGGGTAGGGAGTTACCAGGGATTGAGCTCTGGGGCACTCAACCACTGAGCCACATCCCCAGCCCTATTTTATATTTTATTAGAGAAAGGGTCTCACTGAGTTGCTTTGGGTCTTGCTCAGTTGCTGAGGCTGGCTTTGAACTTGAGATCCTCCTGTCTCAGCCTCCTGAGCGGCTGGGATTACAGGCCACTGCACCTGGCCATGTCTCTGACTCTTTTTAGGAGATGCAAGACTAAGCCCAAGACTGAGCAAACACCATAAGAATGAATTCTCAGAGTGAGGCACATGACAGGTAGGTTGGTTTTCTTTAATATTCTTCTACCAGGTATTTTTATTTTAAATTGTTCATAAACATATTTATGAAATGTTTCAAAACTGAATAAAAAATCAGAGAAATAGACACTCATCTGCTCAGCATTATAAACATAATACACATTCACATTTGCCAACCTTATTTAAATTAAGGCATGGGTGCAGGTTTGGGTACAGTTGAAGCCCTTTTGCACCAATCTTCCTATTCTAATTTTTAAATAATAAGTCTGTGCTTTTAAATTGTTCCCTCCTTAATAGTCCTCAAAATTGTCAGGATTATTCTTGGACCTTCACTCTTGCATATGAAGTTTAAGAGTCAACTTAATAAATCATATAAGAAATATTGTCAAGATTTTGATTAAAAATCCATTGAACTTATAGATTAATTTGGAGACAATGGACTTCTTAGGATATTCAGTCTTCTAAACATGAGCATAGTACTGCCCTCTTTACTTAATTCTTCCTTTAGTCCTTCAATAGAGTATTATGAATTTCTCCATATATCCATTTTATCTCTTATATACCTGTATTATTTAGATCCTTACACAGATAGAAAATCTCATCCACGGGCTGGGGCTGGAGCTCAGTGGTAGAGCACTTGCCTAACAAGTGCGAGGCCCTGGGTTCAATCCTCAGCACCACATAAGAATAAATAAATAAAGTGAAGGTATTGTGTCCGACTACCACTAAAAAATAAATATTAAAAAAAATGTCATCCAAGAGTAAGGCTAATCAGGCTAGTATGGRATATCTGTACTTTTCTGAAATCCAGGCTGCTTCTAGATTTCTGGTCTACCAGCCTTAGTGTGTGTTGTCCAGGCTCTCCTGTCCAAGATGGCACCTCACTGCCCGCTCCATGTCCATGTGAACAACAACAGGGTGGAAGGAGTTAGAAGGGTCTAGTTCTCCTCTTTAATAAACACACTTTTGAACATTACACACGTCACTTCCTCCTACTTCCCTTTGGCTAGACCTTAATCAAATGGCAACTCCTAGTTGGAAAGGTGGGCTAAGAAATGAAGTCTTCATTCAATGTAAACAGCCAGGAACCTAGCAGAACACTGAGAGGAGGATCTTATTACTACAGAAAAGGGAAGAATGGATATTAGGGGACAATAAGCCGTTCCTGCTACAGTATGCTTGGGTATTTGATGCCATGGTACAACATGAGGTCCAAGATGTCCAAGATTGTGGTCCAAGTTGTCCCCAATGAGCCCTATGTTTTGGGGTTCATACCCTGTGTATTGTCACAGGATTAATTTGTGTGACCAAGAGAATATGGCAGAGTTGGAGGTATGTTGCTTCTAAGATAAGATTATAAAAAAACTGTGACTTCTGGGGCTGGGGATGTGGCTCAAGCAGTAGGGCACTCGCCTGGCATG